TAGTTTTTCTACCGTTGTGAGTAAAGGAGTATCGATTTGCATACCCATCATACATTACCCGACGATCAAATTGCCATGGCCTCCCCAGTAGTAAATCTCCAACATGCATGGATACAACATCACATAAAACATCATCAACATATTTTCCAATTGTAAAAGAAACAAGAGTTTGTTGAGTTACCCGTACTTCCCCACAATCATTCAACCATTGAAGCTTGTAGGGTCTTGGATGTGGTTGTGTCTTTAAATTAAGTCTTTTGACCAGAATGGAACTCACAACATTGGTGCAACTACCGCTATCAATGACAACACTGCAAGGTACAGATTGAACAAGACACCGAGTTTGAAACAAGTTCTCCCTTTGGTCTAGGCCGTCCTCCTTAATGTGGGTGTTTAGAGCTCGTCGAGTAACCAAAGATATATGTGTAGGGTCCTCTTCACTAAACTCCTCACTCTCATCTGTTTCCTCATTTATGTCGTCATGTGCCTCGTCATCCGTAACAATTTCTCCCTCCTTGATGGTCATAATTCTTGCATTTGGGCAATCTCTACTATAGTGTCCTACCCCTTGACATCTCCAACACTTTAAATCCCTATTTCGAACATTAGGCTTTTCTACTTTTTCTTTCCCTGTTCTAGAACTCTCCCCTTTCTCAAATTTAGCTTGAGGCTTCTCATTAATCTCTTGATTTCTATGCTTATAATCAATGTTCTTACTATCCTTTTTCCATGTAGAAGTAGAATTGGGAAAAGTTTTAGAAGAATACCGTTGAGACCTTCGTTGGATTTGCCTCTCGATCTTAATTGCAATGTGCAACAACTCCTCAATATTAGAATAAGGCTGTAAATCAGTCTTGTCTGCAATCTCTATGTTTAACCCATTAAGAAACCGCGCCATGAGAGCCTCCATGTCCTCATCGAGTTCAAGTCGATCCATCAATGTATCCATCTCCTTGTAATAATCCTCCACAGATTTGCGTCCTTGTTTCAACGCTTGAAGCTTTTGCGCCATGTCCCGTTGAAAATATTGTGGAACAAAACGCTTCCTCATGGACTCTTTGAACTCGACCCATGAATCAATTGGTGCTTCAAGATTTCTTCTCCTACTTGACATCAATTTATCCCACCAAATTTGAGCATATTGTTTGAATTGAGCAATGCATAACAGTACCTTCTTTTCATCACTAAAATTATGGCAGTTGAACACCGACTCCACCGTTTTCTCCCATTGAAGGTACTCCTCTGGATCGGTTTTGCCATAAAACTTGGGAAGTTTTAATTTGATGCTCCCCACGTTACGATCAATTCTATCATCATAAGGAACTCGTTGTTGTAAATTATGATACCTTCTTCCATGGTCTCTCCCTCGCATCAAGCCAGGACCAACCGCATGTGGATTATCCTCGTGGTGATCAGAATTGTCGCCTTCATATGTATCGGTTGAGGGCGTAGGTTGTGGAATCCTCTGTCGTGCTTGATTTTGAATCTCCAATCTTCCTATTCGATCAGTCAATTCTTTTATTCCTCGAATTAGTCTTTCCATGGTTCGTTGTTGTGCTTCTCTCAATCGTGCATCAGTAATGTTAGTATTGTCGTATGGATTTTCCATGCTACAAAAGAAAGGTAAAAGAAAAAAAAAGGACCTCACAAGCGCTCCCTCACGTGTATTCACTCGTAAATGTAGTTCACTCGTGTTTAGCACTCAACACTCGAAGCAATGTGTCACTCCCTTACAAACTCACCCTCACAATTGAGCACACACAAATCACACTCCAAAAAAACAAATTGGGATGTGAGACAAGCTATGTTATAGAGCTAAGTGCAATTCAAAGTGAATAGACAGCACACTCAACACATAAACAAGGGTATTGAAGGAGCAATCCGAATAACGACAAAGAAACGAATTAAAGAAAGAAAATGATAAGGACTAATTTAGACGTAGTAACATATGAGAGTTACATATAGTAATCAAGAGGAAAAAAGAAAGACATTTAACATCATATGCTTTCTTTATTTCAATGGTTTTTTTTTTCTTCTGATTGGCAAAATCTAAACAATTTACCAACAAGAAAATTGATTTAGAAGATCTTAAAGAAGAACAAAGTGTTGATAAGATCCAGATCTAACACTTTAAAGAACATAAGAATTTTTTTTTTTTTTTTTTTTATATATTTTTGTGATAGAACATGAACATTCTACACAAACTGAGAAAAAAAAATTATAAGAAAATTAAAAGAGATAAGCGCAATGAAACATATATCCGATCGTGAGCCTAAAGCTCTGATACCAAAATGATATGGAAATCAACCCAAGGGAAAGTATGGAACGGATTACCTTGATGATCAAGATCAAGAGTAAAGAAAACTCGTTTCTAAACTCGTGATTCGAATCACTCCACAAGAGGTTTGATCAATACCACTTGAATGACTCTACATGCAAGTTCTAAACACAAGAATTTGCAAAGAAAGTTTAGCTCTTAACAAAGCTAAAATAGAAATTCTATTCTTAATTCCAAAATCTGATGTCTAATCAAAGAAAAGAAGGCTTTATATAGCCTTTACAACCTTAACCTATGTCATACATAACTCCCAAATTAAATGGGCTAGTAAATGAGAAATACCCATAACCTCCTCATTTAAATGGCTAGTTAAAGGTGGAATATAGTAACCTACGTGGGTTACAATATAACCTTAACTCCTATATTTAAAACTAGCTTAAATATGACAAACAAATAGTTAAACTATAATTAAATAATGCAAATAATAAAATGTGCTTTTTAGTCATTCTTGGACTATTTGATAAATTCAGCGGAGTTCATTAAATGCAACTTAAAGTGCATTTAATTCATCTCTTTCTTGAACCTCAACTTTGCACAACATATAAGGGAGGTCTCCAGCGTCTTCTAGAATTTCCTTTGATGAGCTCACCATAGCTTGAATATAACTGTATAAAGTTTGTTGTAGCTTCTTGGCTCTCGTCCTTGTAATTGGACCTTGAGGTATGGAAATTCCTTGGTCGTGGTTCATATCATAGCCTATTACCCACAAAACCTTATTACCCACAATTCTTATTACCAGGTGTGGCTAATCGACTGTTTGCTGTGTAATACACATTGTTTATTACCCACAAAACCTTATTACCCACAATTCTTATTACCAGGTGTGGCTAATCGACTGTTTGCTGTGTAATACACATTGTTTATTACCCACAAAACCTTATAACCCACAAAGCTTATTACCCACAATTCTTATTACCAGGTGTGGCTAATCGACTGTTTGCTGTATAATACACATTGTTTATTACCCACAAAGCTTATTACCCACAATTCTTATTACCCCTCATCAGGAAAATGAAATCGGAGAAAGAAAGAAAAAGAAAGAGGCTTTCCTTGCAAGAGCTTATACTAATTCATAATAAAATATATAATATGGGGAAAGCCTCTTTGTTTTTCTTTCTTTCTCCGATTTCATTTTCCTGTCTCCCGGTAATAGGAATTGTGGGTAATAGGCTATGTATATTACACAGAAAACCAATAATCCGCCACTCGAAAAACACCGAAGGTGGGTTATAAGGAATTGTGGGTAATTAGCAATGTATATTACACAGAAACACCGATAATCCGCCATACCAAAAAGAGGATCCGGCACACGCTAAGTCTTCCCCATTTTCTACGGGGTCTACAAGGGTGGATAACATTCCGGAGTGTGTTATTCTAATTATCATCCAATGGAAGGTAAAGATCGAATACAAAGCTGATTAGTGGCCTTGTAATTCGCATCCAATGAATGTTATAGAGGATAACGCACCCGTATTATTATCGTGGTTTCTAGTCTGTAATGTGTGATCGTGTCTCCTCTAGCATTTTATCAGAGTAGTCGGGCGTTGTAAGTTAACGCATGGAATCCAACTACCTTATCTGAAGTTAGGCGTAAATAGAGGTCACCACTGGTCTATCTTTCAGTGTTTCGTCTATCGTGGGATACTTTCATTAGGTTGTGACTAATGCGCCATTGCCCGAGACAGGACCGTATTCTATATTGAATGATACTAGAAACCGAGCCCAATTATTGTCCAGCTGCCTGATAAAGAGGGTTAGACTACTCATAAGGTGGGAGCTTATTATATGTCTAAAGAGTAAACGTCATACCGTTGTTGCCCCACTCCACAAGCATGATACAGTCTCCGATGGTAAACACACCGAAAACCATCGGATTAGGCGCACAGTGGAAGGTGCTGATTCCAAAAGCATGATCCTGTCTCCGATGATCCTACTACAAACCATCGGATTCAGAAATATGGGAAGGTGTTAAGGAGTAAGGAGTAAGGGCTTCTTTGGTCTGAGTTAGATGTCAGGTTGTGTTAGTGTGTCTGTTATAGATGAGTAAGATGAGTAGTTGTCAAAAGGGTCAGGGATTTAGTGTAGTACTTTTTTGAGAAGGTAGTACTTTTGATTATTTTTAATTATGTTAAGTTGTTTGAGAATAGTAGTACTCTAAATGGTAACACTTTTCGTGGAGTACTTTTCATAATAAAATATATAATATGGCAAAAGCCTCTTTCTTTTTCTTTCTTTCTCCGATTTCATTTTCCTGTCTCCCGGTAATAGGAATTGTGGGTAATAGGCTATGTATATTACACAGAAAACCAATAATCCGCCACTCGAAAAACACCGAAGGTGGGTTATAAGGAATTGTGGGTAATTAGCAATGTATATTACACAGAAACTTATTCTAGAACTGGAAACAAGGAAGGTTATAATGTATAATGTGTGTCTCGCAGCTTGGCTCCTGTCTTTCTTAGGCGAGCTAGCTTTGCTTTGTTACCCCATAACATAAGAAAGTCGTGGAGAGCATAAGCCCCGGAGAGGAGCTACTTTCTTGTGGTAGTCATTTCTTTCGAATGAGCAAGTAGGGGGCGACAACTAAAGAGGTAGCGAGACTGACCGCAATTGCAGGACTAGGTTTTTTTTCTTGCATTTGCTGTTGGTTATGGAAAGTGAAAGTTGTTTCGTTTAGTACGAGATCGCTTCACACCTCGCGGTGCTTACACCCCTCGCCTATCGAAGTTTTGTTCAAAAACCTCGTCTGAGAACTTGTATAGAGAAGGATTTCCCGCGGCGCTGCGGTTCTTCCATACCAACTTAGCTTCCTGGCGCTGCTATTGGCATAACAACCGGTACACCATAGGTTGGCCCAACCCAGTCCTCTCGTACTAGGGTTGGCTCCTCGCAATTCTCCCTTTAACACCAACGGTAGATAGGAACCGAACTGTTGTTAGGATCGATATCAGTCGTTAGCTCTGATACCAGTTGTTAGGATCGATATCAGTCCTTATCTCTGATACCAGTTGTTAGGATCGCACAACAACGCACACGCTCGATCTAGATGAACACAAAGAACAGGATAGAGAAAATTTGCAAGGAGAACTTTGGCTAAAAGGATTTTTTGTATTGATGACTTCAGGTATGTACAACAAGAGAGAGTACAGAGAATAGAAAAGTACATGTTCAAAGCTCTACCGGACCAGATATATATATAGTATAGTTTACTATATATAGCTTTACCAGATTTAGCCAGGCAGAAGTCAGATCCAGGTGGAAGTCGGAGCCAGGCGGAAGTCAGAGCCAAGAGCCAGGCAGAAGTCAGAGCCAGAGCCAGAGCCAGGCAGAAGTTAGAGTCAGAGCCAGGCGGAAGTCAGAGCCAGGAGCCAAGCGGAAGTCAGAGCTAGGCGAAATTCACCACGATCTGTGAAGATGGAAAGTTCAAAGATTGGAATTGAGAAGTTCGATGGATCCGATTTCGGTTTCTGGAAAATGCAGATTGAAGATTATCTATACCAGAAAAATCTTCACGAACCTCTGTTGGGGGTGAAGCCGGATACCATGACCACGGAACAGTGAAAGCTCAAGGATCGACAAGCCTTGGGACTGATCCGGTTGACGCTATCCAGAAACGTGGCGTTCAACATTATCAAGGAGAAGACAACGTCAGGTCTATTGAAGACGCTGTCGAATATGTACGAAAAACCGTTGGCTATGAACAATGTGTATTTTGATGCCAAGATTGTTATGAGTCCTTGTGAGAACTTCGTTACGAGCAAACAGAAACGAGTTAGCTTCACAAAGACTGTTAGAGAATTGAAGAAAAGTACTGGAGGGAGCTCCCTCGATCGTTAGCATTGCTGAAGCTCCAGAGGGGGTTGCGTCGTCTGGAAGCGTCGTTGAAGCTCCAGAGGGGGTTGCGTCGTTTGGAAGCGTCGCTGAAGCTCCAGAGGGGGTTGCGTCGTCTGGAAGCGTCACTGAAGCTCCAGAGGGGGTTGCGTCGGCCGGAAGCGTCGCTGAAGCTCCAGAGGGGGTTGCGTCGGCCGGAAGCGTCGCTGAAGCTCCAGAGGG